CAGTTACCACCAAACATCATACAGAGATCATTCCAGCTGAAAATACATGTTTATTATTTTTTTAAACCTGTGCCTGAAATGTATTTTAGTCAATCTATGCCACATAAAGCAAACTTCTAATGCACATTTATAAATTTAATTCAATAAATGTTTACTGAAAAAAGAAAATGGGTTGGAGTCTAAACAGACATAAAGTGGCCATGAAGTAAGTCTAGCAATAACTTCCACTTCTTGTGTTTTCCCACCACCCTTTATTTTCCCCAATGAGAAAATCAGAGTATGATAGATAAGCTAAGAGACAATCTCCATAAATATGACAGCAGACATATTGCACAGACACTAAAAACTATAGGAATAATGCTGAGACCACAAGATAGAAATAGCCCTTGACTTTTTCTGGTAATGGGGGGGTGGAATGGGTGGGACAGGGAGCCTAAAGCCAAATAGCAAAATGAATCCAAATTTTAACCAAGTTTTTTATTACACACATACTATTTGAAACTTAAACTTTCATTATAAGTTACAGTCCAAAAAGAAAAAGGACAATAAGAAGAAATAAAAATTATCCCAGTTCTTCCAATCTACTGTATATGTACATGCAAAGATTTAAGAATCATGCCATAGAAGTAGATAATTCAATTAGAGCCAAGATAAAACAAATGAGATACATTATATTAAGCAGGCAGCAAATTACGATATAATTTGGCTGAGAAATAGGTTGAAACAGGCACTATCCTAGAAATGGGATGATAGAGCAAAGAACTAAGCTCCACCTTCAATGTACCTGAAGGTCTGTTTGGAGCCAATTTACACAAAATATCCACTTACTAACATCACAGAAGATAGAACAAAATAACACTGAGATAATTTATTAGGAAATTATTTTTTAATATTGGAGGTGCACTGTACCACCCCAATCCAGCACACATTCTTTCTCTCTCTCTCTCTCTCTCTCTTTCACAAAAAAGAAAGAGATCCCATAAGCTTCTCCACAGTGTTCCACACCTCACCCGGAAGGAAATCCTTTTCTTCCAGACTTGCTTAAGCCAATAAGGGCTCCAGCGAATGCTAACTGCCCAAGAATTTAACTGAAACCATTAATTTACTTCATAGGACCAATCAACTGGCAAAAGAAGTAAAAAAGAAACCTTTTGGTACAACTGACCTACACAGTATTTAAACCGCCAGAGATGGCAAGGTTTGATGTTACAGCTTCCATCATCAATCTGCAAAATTCTGTCACTGCCTGATAAATGCACAATGCTTCTCTCTCCTGTGATGCTTTTAGGAAATAATGCTTGTCATTTTCTATCTTATTGACAAAATATCTTATTTTTTAGAAAACTCCATATCTAAGGAATACTTTAATGAAGTAAAGATGGGTTGAAACATCAAGCTAATTTTGTAAGGACATGAAACAGAGAAATAATCTCAAAGAAAATGATAAATTCTAATTTTTATTTGAAAGTCTAAAGCACAAATGAGACAACTTTTAGCCGCTTCATTCTTATTTATTTAGGTTTATTTATTCAATGTCAATATAAATGACTGCAGTGAAGCCAGTATTGCAGACCAAATTTGCATTTGGAAGTTCAGTCACTGCAATCCGGATCCCAAAGCCACAGCGCTTCCTCCTCACGTTAGACTCCCATTCAAAGCTATCACTGTGTTTTCAAAGTGACAACACTGTTCAACATTATTTTCACAGAGCAGGAATCTTTTATGGCATTAAGGGTATGTATGTCACACCATGAAAACTACAATGACATTGCAAACACAGAGAAAGGAATCTAGTAAGGGCATTGGGAAGAAAAAGGGTGTGGGGAATTTAAGAAAATGTTTTTTAAGCTTTTTTTTGGCAAAAGAAAATGCATAATAAAATAATAACTGAAAGTTCCCTATTAATATCATCCAGCAATTATTAAAAATAGAATAAATTAGCTGATATGATCCAATCACCTGGTAGGGAACAGCCATGTGTCTCCTTAGTCCATTGGCAGTGCTAATGGTACCCCTAAATGATGGATTTTTTTTTCTATGTTCACGCTGGTTGAACTTAATTTTCCATTCACCTGTTTACCTGGATTAGTTTTCAGCTTAACATTCATTAAGCACCAAGACATAACAAGAGGTGCAGTGATGGTGAGATAAAAGTCTCAAGGCCATTACTCTTCCCATGAGGCACTCAGGGAGGATCTATAAGTGAAAGATAGCTTCACTTACTTGGGTTAAAGTGAAGAAATATGAACCCACTCTAGAACTTTGAAAATCAAAGAGAGAGCTTTAAAAAGCCATGCATTTATGTTTTGCCTAATTTTTCATTTTTTCTCATTAGAAGGCAAGGTCTGATTAAATGCGGGTTATTTCTGATATTTCAGCTTCTAGTTTGTGGAAGGGGATTCCTGTTTAAGGAGGGAATGCTGCCACTCCCTACTCTCCCCAGTAGCAGCACACTGGACACCTAAGGAGCCAAAAGCCCTACACCAAAATACACCACTTTTAATCACAAATCAAACAATAGTAATTAGGAGCATCAAGTTAATTGTGTCTACTCCCCAGAGAATGTGTCCTCCAAGGCTCCCTGAAATCAGGTCGACAGATTAGTAGTAATTTTACTCCCAGTTCTCTTATTCTAGCAAAAAAATAAATTAAAAAAAAAAAAAACCGAAAACAAAAACCAGAGCCTAAGTTCATCACTCCTACCCTCAGAACTACGGAATCTACAAGTAAAACCTTAAAAAGAAAAATCAGACTACTTAATTGTTTTGTTAGGCCGTTTATGTAATCAGAGTAACTTTGATCTTTGGCTTCTTAATCTGTTCAAAATTTGTTGTCAAATCTTACGGAAGTCCTTTAAATCCAGAATTATAAATGTTATTTTCCATTAGTCCTTCATTAATGATTAAGATAACTTGGCAGTTTGAAACCAATCAATCAAGAATGTGCAAAATCCATTCCATATATATTGGTATAACTAGATACTGACAATAAGGTTCTTTCTTACCTTCCATTTGTACTAAATATGATAAAGATAGCAAGAATACCTTAGCTATTTTCAAGGCACTTTCATCTACATTACTTTGCAATCCCCAAAGAGGTTGTGCTTTATTCTGATCCTTTACAATTACCAGAAAGGAATGCAGAGCTTGATAACTTGCAGAGTAATAGAAAAACCTTGATTTTTCATTGCATTTCCCCTTCTGACTTTCTCTATGATCTGAGGGACAACACTTAAGCTTTCTCTGTCTCACTCTCCTGTCTCAAACAAGCTATAATAAAACTTTTTATTCCAGTTCACTGGGGTATTAGAATGATGAATCTGATAGGATGTCCCTAACACACTTTGATCTCTATAGGGAAAGTTGCTATAAAAATAAAGACACTGTTGTTATTCTTCTAATTGAGTTATTTGCAAATGGATCTTCTTGATGGAGCCCAGCCCTCAGATATAGAAAAGAAAATTCTGCCAGTCCTCCAGGGTGCAATTGCCTTGTGGCAATTATACCCATAACCACATTTCCTTATTACTGTTATAAAAGACTATGGAGTTCAAGAGGAGGCAAAAAGGGAGCTTAAGAGAAAATACGCTGTTTATTTTCAACAGAAGATGCTGAAGTTGCAAATTTGGAACTCAAGGCTATAGGTAAAACTTTGACAGAACATGTGTTCCAAATTAGTGTGGCATTTGTTAGTTGTGTGAGAAAGTCAAAGGTGTCCCTGAGGCTGCAGCTTTTTAGCAAATTTTGGAAATAACTTAGGGAAAAAAAGGTAAATTACAGTTAATCTGGTCCTCACTCTATGAATGCTAGGAAACAATGACAAACAGATTCATGGCTACACCATTCTCACCAAGAAAGACAGCATATCTCAAGGTACAAAAGGCACAAAAGAAAATGAAGCTGAGCTTAGGAAGAAAGTGCTATGGACAATCTTACATGAAAAGCCAAAAGGGAATATTGGGGCTATGTTGAACTTTCCTGGAGTCTACAGACAGAACACATATAGACCCCCTATATTAACTACCAGCAGCCACGAGAATTACTAGGTGGCTCAGGTTTAGGCACTTTAAGAATTCCATATTCCTCACATGGAATTTTTTCAAAGTAAATAATAAAAGCTCTGCTTTATGAAGTATTAGAGACAAGGGGTTGCCCTTCCATAACAGACATCACTAGGCCCATCACACTGCACATCTCCAAGGAGCATGATTCACAGTGTGGGCTACGGGGAGAGAGCCTTCTAAAGTCATTTAGGATGTTTACTATGGCATTCTATATGTCATTTAAAAACCTTATAAATCATCCTAAAATTTAGAATTTAAACCTGGAACAATTATTTGGATAAAGTTTCTTATATTAACAGGTTTTTAAAATTTCAATCTTCAGAAAAGTGTTTGTTGTCAGTGGAGAATGGCATACAATCTAGATTCCAATTCAACACAGATCTCCAAAAAGACCAATTAAAGGAGAAGTAGAACAGCTTGCTGCATCATGACAATAAATGCTACTTGCCTTATTGTCATTTCACAATCAGTGACACATTCAGTCCACAAATTCTAGTGAGCATCAGATTCATTTGAGATGCTTGTTAGAAATTCAGATTCCTCGACCTCACCCGTAATGACTGGGACTTGTACAGCAACGCTGGGGCCAAGAAAGCGCTCTCAACAAGCACCCCAGGTAACTCCCGTACATTGTTCTCAGCCAGTGTACAAGGGACTTGGCTGCTGATGCTTGCTCACAGACACCAAACTGGAAAGCAAAAGGCAGTATGTGACTATAGAGTCCTGAAAACACAAACAAACAAAAATGCAGTCCTTAAGCCAAAACCAATCTCCACTTTTCTCCCTCTCCCTGCCATGTGATGCACCAGCTTTGGCCAAAAATCACATGCATACAGTGAATCCTAAAAAGCAACTAAATCCAAATCCACATTGAACCATTCTGAACTCTATCACACTTCACAGAGCTTTAAATAGAATTCTACTCAAAACATCATACCCTGACTGGCCAAAGGATTCTTTGGGTTCTGTTGCTTTATCCAAGTGATCCAAAGTGACCCAGGTTCCACTCTGCATGTTCGCTTCTACAGCTTTCTCCAAGTCGAACACAGAAGGATTAAAAAGAAAACACAAATATTGGCATAGGTGACTTGAGGTTACTTGACCTTTCCGAAGGAAGATTTTTTGGCAATTGTGTTCTGGCAGCTCCCTGGAAGGCAAGGCCAGGACACAAAGAGGAAGACAGGAAGCCGGGAGCTGGCCATGTGTCCTTGGCAGGCAGTAGTGCGGCAGGGTGAACCACCTCGTCCCTGCCAAACCAGAAACAGCGGGGAAAGCCCAGCTAATTGGCAAGTCACAGCCGGCTACAGTGTACATCCTCGGCTTTAAATGCCTGATAAAGTTAAATGGCATGCCAGACCCTAATCTACTTAAACAGGATCCTCCTTCACTTTCAAAAACTTAACTTGCCCATTTGTGTTTCCTTAAGGAAGTGGTAAGGCAGCATCTTAGAATATAAGGGCTGGAAAACTTAAAAACAAAACAGCAAAAAAACTAAAGATGTGTTGGAGTCTCATTATGCTTATAGCCACTTTACTTTGTGAAAGGGCCATGTATGTTTGTGCTTTTGGTTTTAGCTAATGAGACTTCCACTTGCTCATTTATTTTTATTTAAAAGAAACTCTCAAGTCAACATTGCAGACTGATTATGACTTCAGTTCATTTGGAGGATCCAGGCATTTTTTTTTTAATTTCACAAAACTCCTAAAGATATCCAGGGAAACTGCAGAGTTGCCCCCAGTTTCCAGTCAGCTATTGTATTTACTTACACGTTAGTTTGCTCAATCATATTTGCTAAGGTATTTCTGCATATACTAGCATAAAATCACCAATTTCTGAGTCTTTTACGACTAAAATGGGGAATCACACAGGGAGAACAGGAGCAGAGGGGATTGTCCAAATAAACTGCTCCTCAGTGCTGCTGCTAACAGAGTGAAAATCCAGGGACCTGGAGCCTGGAGCATAATTTTCCCCCTAGGTCTGAAGGCTTGTTAAGAGCCATTTAAAGGGGTGTGCTCAGTAGTTGGGCATATTTCCTTCTATTTTCCGTGAAACTGTTCATGCCTTCTTCAAAACTCAAACCAAAATTTCAAATCAGCTTCTCCTCCTTAAAATATAATAGTCAGTGGTGAAATTTGATGAAGAAAATGCAAATTTCCTCTCAGAATCGATAGAAGATTACAATAAACACAATCTACTGTTTTCATCAGAAGTTTCTTAAAGTCTACAGAATATTCATCCTTTAAGCAACCCAGGACCCCAGAATCTGTTTCAGTGAAGTTAGACCAAGGAATAAAACACAACGCCAAAACTCACATTCTCTCTGATCACGATCTGAGATAAGAAAATAATAATCCTCATGTCCAACACTAGGTCTCAGGATCAGTAAGTCAAGTGTGTCTTTCAGCTCCAAAATTACTATGTTTTTTTAAGACACAACTTGACTTTCTCAGACTCTACTTGGTTAACTTTTCACACTAAGTATCCCTGGCTTTTGGAAATTCTCCTTCCCCTTTCCTTTGGGGCACCACTCCTTTCTAGGTCCAATCCTCTACTTCTGAGGGCTCCTTTCCTGTCTTGATGGCTATCTCTTTCTCTTCTGTTGGTCTCTTAAATGTTGGTGATCCCAAAGACAACCCATCCCACTTGGCCATCTTCTTGTCTTTGTATATTCCTCCTCGGCAAACTCAGCTAGGTCCATGTTTACAAATACTACCCATTTTTTGAGAACACTGTATCTCTATATCTAGCACTAACGTCTTCTTTAACTGCAAAACTCCTCCTGATGTTACTAGTGCACAACGTTTGTACACTCTTGCCCCCCTCCCCCAACCAATCCACACCTCAATTAACGGCATTCACAGCCATTCGGTTTCCCAAGCTGAAAACGATCATTCCAGAAATCCCATCTCCCTAAAGCCTCACATTCAGTTGTCAGCCCAGACTCTACCTTTCAAGCCCATTTCCCCATCTCCTTCCCAACTGGTGCTAAGTCCCTTATTGAGTTTCACATTTTTACCTCACAATAGCCTCAGCCTCCTCAGGCCATAATGATTCACTCTTCACACTATAACCAGACTCCATCCTCTGCACAGCCATCAGAAATCACAACACTTCACTCCTTAAAATACCTTGGTGGCTTCCAATTGCTAGCTAGAATAATCTACAACCTCCTTAGTACAGCATTCAAGGTGCTCCAAAACCTGTCCCCGGCCTAGCCTCACTCTTACAGAAACCATCACCCTTTACTCTCCCCCTCACCCCCACATCCAACTTCTTAATATTCTTCTTAACAGTCCTAGAATATGCCATGTAACTGCAGGTCTGTGCCTTTGCTCATATAATTTCTATGCCTGGAATATCCCTTATTTGATGCAAGACAAACTCCTAATTCATCTTTAGAAGTTCTTGAATTTCATCTGTTACATCCTTCCTGAACCTTATTGCCCCACCTAATGAGGCCTCCCTCTGGGGCCCATGTGGCCTTGCTCACACTTCAGTGCAGGGCCCGACCAGTGCGTCATGGTTGGTTGTTTATACATTACTTCTCTCCAAGATTGTGACCTCCTGTATCCCAACTTACCCTGAATAATTTTGGAAATCTATTTAAATGGCATAAAAATGTTATCTTGGATGTACTATCCAGGTAGAAACTGAGACAAAGAGCATGAATTCCCAAAAGTAAGACAAGGCAATCTTAAAAAAAAAAAAAAAGTCATAATGAGTTAGCAATTTATACAGGTAACTAACATTCAATATTCTGATTGTGACATATACAGATGATATTTATCCATTTGTTTAGTTTTTTGAAAAGGACTGAACACCTACAGTGGTCCATGTATCATCCTTGGAACTCAGTCTACAACAGTCAATAAAAGATTACCTGTTCCTGTCTTCATGCAGCTCATGGTTTCATTTGTACTATGTTGACTTTCATTCACTTGCTAACAGGTAAAATGTGCTCTCTATACAATCTACAAATAAGAAGAATCTGTAATCATTACGTTTTGAAAATAAATTGACACTTTTCACACATACACAAAGATTTAGTAGTGGGACAAGCTTTTTCATTTAATTTTTGTTTATAGCAACTAAAACATGAGAGACTAAAAGCCACAGACTGCAAAAGTATTATTTAGCTGTAATAAGTAGAATGTGTAAAGGTGGTATGATGACAAAACAGCTACTGCAGCATGAAATAATGAGATTATAAAATAATGAGACCAGAGATTTAAAATTCTCTGACCTCTATTATCTTTCAGAATAGCTAAAAGGGGTCTATTGACTAGTTTGGGAGCTGAAGAGTCAAATACTATTTCAGAATGAAAATTACTTTGTGGTCACACCCCATTATAGAATATTGATGGAGCCAGACTACATGAAAGTCTCAAAAGGAGTACTGAGAGAAAACATCATAAGAATTGGTTTTTTGCTACTAAAATCCATCCTCAAGAAAAAACAAAAGCTAATTTTAAAAAATCATAACCAAGGCAAAGTTTCTAAATGGAATGACATGAAAATATCAGTTGTACATTTTTTGCCTTTTAGAAAAATGACCCATATGTATAGCATTTTATATGGTTTTCTCTAATGTATCTGAGAAATGTGTAAGCAAATCTATGCAAGGAGATATCATGATTGTGATGTCATATTTCTTATGAAAAAAATCCCCTTTACAATGTCAATTAATACCAAATTTAGCTTTAAAACTCCATGACCTCTACCATTTTTTAGGTTAGCTGAAAAGGATCTATTGACTAGCTTTGTGAGCTGAACAGTTGAATGCTACTTACATAGAAAATTATTTCTTTCACTCCATAAGAATAATTATCATGGCGATCACACAATTATTATAATTATATCTGTAAGAACTGTTATCGGGAATTTATCTCTGAAACAGTTTCATGCATTGCAGGGGACATTTATCTTTTTTAATGATCATCAACACAAGTATCTTTTTGTAGCTATATAAGTGATTTTTACCTCTTTCTATTAATATCCTCTTGCATGCTTTAGAAGCCAAAGGAGACAGCCCCAACACTTTTTTTTCCTAAAGCAATTGTTTCAGTTAAGCCAGGCCAATGGCATCTTTTGAGACAGAAAGCTACCCTTCCCATTCACAGCAACATAACATTCACAATGTGCTTTCCTAAATGGATGGAAAACCCCTCAAAAAAGCCCCTCAAATCTGTGTTTCATAAACTGTACTCTTAGCAATAAAGTTTATTACAGACCTAAAGTATCTGCATAAACCCGGTTAATTGAAAAGTGGGTGGAGAAGGCTGCCAAATTAAATGTTTACATTAGCACAGCTGTATTGTAAAAACATTCTGCCCCCTGTGCTTTGTAATTATAAGATATTTCTGGACTGTGTATCTCTACAAAGTTTATCTCCACTGCCAAGAGTGTCTTGGCACGGAGCGACTGCAGTTTTTGGCAGCCAGGAGCTCTCCGCGCGGGCAGGATCTAAAATGGCTGCCAAGCGGCCTCCTGAAATGTCGCCGGCGTGGGCCCGCCTCACCAAGGGCAAAGGCCAACCCTGTTACCACGGGAGGGTCTAAAGTCTGCCTCACAGGAAGCCAAAATGTGTATTTCCCTCATAAATAAGACTTGGTACCACAACTTTTGTGTTGTAGTAGTTAAAGCTGTTTGAAAAACTAACTACAAAGGAATATTGGAATACTACCAATTAGAAAATGGTGACGAGGGGTCTTTTATGAAATTCTGCTGACCTCAACATTTCAATCACACAAAATGCCCACAATATTTTCTGCTGATTAAAGAAACTCACTTAATTGGTGGGGGGAAAAAAAGGTTGGAAAAAAAAACCAACAAATTCTGACCATATTAAAACATACTATAGAGAAGCATCAGCAAAGCCAACACTTTCCCATTTGCAATGGCATGATTTGGACATAAACTTATAACCTCTATCAAAGCATATGTGCATGAAAAATAGAAACAAAACTAATTTGTTTTCTTCTCATCCTTTAAAAAGGATATGTTCCTCTTACAGCATTAAACAACATTAACAAAAGAAAACCTTTTCATACCCTTCTATGGCAAAGGCCTCAACATTTGAGAAATTAGCTTTCTCTTCCCACCGCCCATCACCCAAGATGCGGAAAGGAAAGAAAGCCAAGGGGAAGAAGATGGCTCTGGCCTCTGCTGTCGTGAAGAAGCAGGAGGCCAAGAAAGTGGTGAATCCCCTGTTTGAGAAAAGGCCGAAGAATTTTGGCATTAGACAGGACATGCAGCCCAAAAGAGACCTCGCCCCTTTTGTGAAATGGCCCCGCTATAGCAGGTTGCAGCGGCAGGGAGGCATCCTCTATAAGCGACTAAAAGTGCCTCCTGCGATTAACCAGTTCACCCAGGCCCTGGACCGCCAAACAGCTGCACAGCTGCTTAAGCTGGCCCACAAGTACAGACCAGAGTCAAAGCAAGAGAAGGAGCGGAGTCTGTTGGCCCAGGCGGAGAAGAAAGCGCCGGCAAAGGGGACACCCCCACTAAGAAGAACACCTGTCCTTCAAGCAGGAGTTAACACCATCACCACCGCGGTGGAGAATGAGAAAGCTCAGCTGGTGGTGACTGCACAGGACATGGATCCCATCGAGCTGGTTGTCTTCTTGCCTGCCCTGTGTTATAAAATGGGGGTCCCTTACTGCATTATCAAGGGGAAGACAAGACTGGGACATCTAATCCACAGGAAGACCTGCACCACTGCTGCCTTCACACAGGTTAACTCAGAAGACAAAGGAGCGCTGGTGGAAGCTATCAGAACCAATTACAACGACAGACCCAATAAGATCCATCGTCACTGGGGAGGCAATGTCCTGGGTCCCAAGCCTGTGGCTCCCATTGCCAAGCTCAAAAAGGCAAAAGCTAAAGAACTTGCCACAAAACTGGGTTAAATGTACACTGTTGAGTTTTCTGTACATAAAAATAATACAAATTTTCCTTCAAAAAAATCTGAGGAATTAACTATGTCTGTGGCATAAAACTGAAAAAAATTGAGATCAAATACATAGTCTCTGTAAGTGAGTTCCAAGGGCTGACCAAAGGAACAAAAATTGGAAGCAAGTGAGGGGAGGGGACGGGGAAAAAAGAACGGAGGGAGGAAAGGGAAAGGAGGGAGGAAGGGAAGAAGGGAGGGAGGAAAGGAAGGAAGGAAATAAAGGGAGGAAATGAAGGGAAGGAAAGGAGGGAGGGAAGGAAGGAAGGAAATAAAGGGAGGAAATGAAGGGAAGGAAAGGAGGAGGGAAGGAAGGAAGGAAATAAAGGGAGGAAATGAAGGGAAGGAAAGGAGGGAGGGAAGGAAGGAAGGAAGGGAAGGAGGGAGGGAGGGGAGGAAGGGAGGGAAGGAAGGAAAGGGAGGAAGGAAGGAAAGGGAGGAAATGAAGGGAGGGAAAGGAGGAAATGAAAGGAAGGGAAGGGAAGAGAAGGGAGGAGGAAGGAAGGGAGAGGGAAGGGAGGAAAGGAGGGAGGGAAAGAAGGGAAGGAAGCGAGGGAGGGAGGGAGGGAAAGCAGGGTGGAAGGGAAGGAAAACAGGGTGGGAGGGAGGGAAAGAAGAAAGGAAGGGGAAAGAAAACACGGGAAGGAGGAAATGGATGGAGACACTGCACGGAACTAAAAATATATACTGATTTGTTCACAGTAGGAATATAAAAAACAGTTGAATAAACTTTTTAAAATACTTCATCAGTACACCTTCATAAGTACAATATATACACAAAGTATATATTGTCTGTCTTTTTTTTTCTCTCTCTCTCTCTATTAAACTTAAATCCCAGCTAACACGCTATGTTTGCAGCAGCCAAATACTGCATAATGAGGTCAGTGGATTTTTCTTTGAGACTGTTCCACAAGTTTAAGCTCAGGTTGAGAGACACATTAGGCCTGGTGTACTCCTGTAATCATCATTGGCAGTGATTACTGTTCGGTAATCTAAGCTTCAACTGAATCCAACATTCTTGCCTCTGCTGAAAGATAATTCAGAGGTGAAAGATGAATTCCATAATGCTGACACAAACTGGTGGTATTCATCATAGTGCTTATTCACTAAATGTCCATTCTAGCTTGAATTATATGTCCACACACTCAGAACAGCCACACGAATATTATATAATATTACTTAATTTTTAAAGACTCCATTTTAGAAAAAAATCTAATGTCTCTTTAATCGTATATTTTGAACAATGTCTATTCCCCAGTAGTCACCTGAAACACACACACACACACACACACACACACACACTTTTCCTGGATCTTTTTACAGCAGAATAATTTCTCAGCATTATTAATTATGTTTCTGCATAAAACACATTTAGGGACTTTTATCCTTTGTTTACTTAGTTATCAAAATAATCAGTCACACAGCTCTTTAATAATGGGCCACTCTTAACAGGTGAAACAGAGCAGCTGTGTTCAAAAAATACCTCTAGTTCACTAGTAACTTACTAAGTCTCTTTTTTTTTTTTTTTCTTTGAGACAGAGTCTCGCTCTGCCACTCAGGCTGGAGTGCAGTGGTATGAGCTTGCCTCACTTGCAATCTCCACCTCCACCTCCCAAGGCTCGAATAATCCTCCCACCTCAGCCTCCTGAGTATCTGGGACCACAGATGCGCCTGGCTAATTTTTTCTATTTTTGGTACAGACAGGGTTTCACCATGCTGCTCAGGCTGGTCTCGAACTCCTGAGCTCAAGCAATCTCCCTGTCTTGGTCTTGCAAACTGCTGGGATTACAGGTGTGAGCCACTGTGCCTGGCCCTTACCAACACCCTTAAAACTTGAGCTAATTTCTTTCCTTTCATGAGATTTTATGGTCTGACACTGCAACTTATTACCTTTTCTTCCTTGAGAGTTTCCAAATACTAAAACAACAATCTGCTCAACAAACAGAAGAATTCAATAAATGTTCATTGATCACCTAGTAGTACCTGCAAAGAGACCCTGTGCTATTATACACAGAGTTATTAGATTCAGACAACATGCTTCACAAAAAAAAAAAAAAAAAAAAAAAAAACCTAAGGGATGGTTTCAGATTCTGCCTGTGTCTTAGTTTCAGTCATGTTTGGTATATATTGCCAAGTGGCTATATTTTATATCCCCAACTAGAATACAAGTTTTTGGAGATCATACTCTATGTCTTATTACTGCACAAGACAGTGCAACGCATAAAATATTGTCACCTACAACTGAAAGGATTCCAGTGAGGCTAAATGATGATTAGCTGTGTAAAACCCCACTATTCCATACATTGTATGTGCTTACAATGTTAGCTTATCCTCCTCTTCAGCAGCAAATATCTTCTAGGTGAACAGTAATAAAATAATAGTAAGGCTAACAGTCATGAGTATTTGTTTACATGTCCAATACTGTTCTCAATATTACAGTATCCATAGATTTCATCCTTGCGATAACACTAAGGGGTGCTATTATTATTATTCCCATTTTCAGATGAGAAAACTTGCCTAAGGCTATCCAACTAATAACCGAAAAAGCCAAGAATTAAACCCAAGCCAAACTGACCCCAGAATCCAATCTAAATTACTGTCTTCCCAAATTAGAGGTGTCACCACCAGACAGAAAAAGAAATACAGTCCAGGTAGAGGTTTCACCTCTGTAATTACAGGGCTCCTTAGTCAATTTTTTCTAATTTTTGACACATACCTTCCCAATTTTCCTGGCAAAAACCTCCCTTGAGTGGAGGCCACTGACTGTGGTGAGTTTATGTTGTGGTTTGGTAATGTGTACAAACTGGGAGGAGGATGAGACCAGAAAACCCCTTTTGCCCATAGCATGCCACAAATTGAGGACTGAGTCAGTGCATGCTGCTGACAGGCAAAGAGCCAGCTCGGCCTGAGCAGCAACATGCAGGGACTGCATGTGACACCAGACACCCTTTTCAAAGCCACTACCTTCCTCCTTCCCCACAAACCTCTTCATCTCCCACCAAAGTCCTGAAGCTTCACCACAGGATCAAGTAATCCCCCTCTAAGCCACATCTCGTAAATGACAGTCTAATTTCTCCCACGTGTCATTTTTCACATGAATGTTACTATGGTCTTGGCTGTACTTAACCAGAGTTCAGGGTCTGATGGTTTATCTACAGAGACAACGTGACCACAGAGAAGAGCCCGTTTCCATTGCCACCTGAAAGACAGATCCACCAACACAATGTTCACCACTTTCTCACAGAGGGCTAAATGAGATTCAAGGAAAGAGCCCACGGTCAAACGTTTCCTGGGTTGAATTGAGGTGGTGGGTTCCCATACAGAGCACAGCACCATCAGATTCACAAAGCCAAATGCCTCAGCATGATGATATGAAAAGATGACAAGCTGCACACAATGTTCAAAATCTAAATTCGAAGGTCACTTCCCACTCCCTAAATAGTTTTATCCCCCAAAAGTCACTTTAGAATCATCTTTCCACTTTTATTCCATGTTTGTAATCTGATTTTAATGATCCCGGGGTAGGCCATTTTTTTAAACTCCAGACAGGTTCTGATTCATCTATACAACAAAGCAATATGCAGTGTTAATAAAAGACTAAGAGAGCAAACCAGTATGTGTTCAATGTGATGGCAGTTTAGATTTTTTATTTCAATTGGCAATCATTCTGACATCAAGGTTAAATTGTCCTAAAAAAGAAAAAAAAATCACGCCTCATTCCAAATTTGGTAATTCAAGAAAAATTGAATTATTCTCATGTCTACCTGTGGCAAAACAAGAAATGACTTTACATCTCAGAAATGTTAGTATGAACGATTAAATTCATAAAAACAGACATGGCTTAAGTTTTTATTTTACTACTTTGAAGTTGTAATATATTCATTTTCCTGGTATTTTTACTTAAAATCTCTTTTTTTTTTTTTCTTAAGGACTCTTCACAAGTACTTTTGATAGAGTGGTATAAAATTATCCTATTCCAATGACCATAATATGAAAATCATTTTGCCAGAAAACATCCTAGAAGTTTCCCTCATTTTAGGTACTTGGGATTATTGTCATAAACTGAGGACCATTCAAGAATGTTTTGAAGATATATACTACTCTATTCAGAGGACAAGGCATATATTCAGAAAAATGCAAAAATATTCATCTTTTCTCAAACAACTCCAGTATTAAATTCATCTAGACCCACTGATTCACTCAATCTATTTTTTAAGTTTAGTTTACAATATGATATTATTTTTGCCCTCATCCCTTCTTTGCAACACCCCACCCATAAGGGAAAAGAAACAGAGATGAATGAATAACAAAATCGTACACAAATAAAAATGAAATATTTTCTGATAACTAGCATGTCAGAGTAGACAAGTTATTTTTTTCCACTATCACTTTCTTACATGATCTGCAGCAAAATTATGTTGCCTCTGTTTTATGAATCATCAATACATCATAGCCTAGCCTTTTTCATATATAATAGGAAAAATATTGCAGATTATAACTACCGTTTTTGACATGGAGATATTTTAAATTCAGTTTTATGACATGCTTATGTTCTTTTCATCACTGAATAATTGCTCATTTCCAATACTAAACTGGTATTTCTTTAAACAAAGTCCATGTTACTGCACTAATGGTAACTTTAGGATTTGGAAGGAAAAGGATCACAACTGATAAGCAAATGCAATGACGAGCACTGACAAAGACTCAACATTTATTAGAAGGCAATTGCTAGAGAATGTGGCTTTAATTGTGCATACATATTTTTATTCATTAAGATGAATAACCAATAAAATCCCACACTATGGTGTCCCAGCCTCATAACACATTAATAAAGTTTCTTAAAGGTTTTGGCAGGGGGCCAGCACAGTCCATTAACTCTTTGCAAGTTGTAAAAAGAAGTAAAGTCATTTCAGTGTGTTTTGTGGTTATGAATGAAACAGCAGGCAGCCTGTATGGAAACGTCACTTTGGATATGGTATTGGTAATGGACGCTTTGCTGCGCAATCAGAACAGTGTGGGGAGAAGTTAATGCATCCTACCACAACCCCAGCCCAGCGCACTGAAAAGCTAATTTACTTCAAAGTGGAGGGAAGAGAGCAGAGGACTACAAGTTTGGAAGATCTATTTATTTTGCTAATAGGCTGTCACATTGCCTCTGGGTAAACTTGCCCACT